GAGTTCCTATCTCCCTGTATATCATGATCACGCCCGCACTTTGAATGATACTCGACAGCCGCGGGAACCTAGCAGATCTCAATAATTTAGACAGAATTCTAAAACTTTCCACAGTAACAGACAGAAAACCATAATCTGGCGTTCATTAGAATAAACAATAGACCCTCTGAATAAACCATACACCGCCAGCTCTGTATTGTTTTCCGTTTTTACCTCAACAAAACGACTTGGGAGGTAACCACTTTTCAAAACTCGTTCTTTATTTGATTATCCCGCCTGATTTCAAGGATTCTTTTATATCATTTCCATCCCAGCGATTCCCCTAATACCTACACGGGGTGATGCGTATTTTCTCCCCGATCGATGGATCGATATATCTTTAAGTGATGCCAAGCGTGAAATTCCTGAGTTTGTTTGATCTGCAGCTAAATGGAAATATTTCAAAAGCTTTTTGGTTCACTGGTCGCAATGCAGACGTCATCATTTTCACGAATGAAATTTTTAAAAAAAATCGAGTTATTCGCGTGAGTTGTCGGACTTGAATGAGTAAATAAAAAAAAAAAACGTTAGTCCACGTCTGCTCCACTTCACACATTCAAAGATTCCTACTCAGATTCTAAGAACAATGACAGCGTATAATTTCTGTATTCTGAGAACAATTAAGCGTAGAACTTGTATGGATCCGTGTCGCTGTTCTGTCATCACATCACGCGTTCAACCCTCTACTCTCGTTCAGCACGATAGCAAACGAGAGCTCCCCCCCCCCCCCACACACCTCCCCTCCAGCACACATACACAATTTGTGTTTAACTGCACTACAAAGATTTCCTGTCGACGTCAATTCTTCCACGCTCGAATATGCAATTTGTTTTTTTATACAAGCATACTCGTATTGTCGTTCGATTGAAAAGATGTCATTTTTTTAAATATATATTTTATAGTGTACATTTAAAAGAAAATGTTATTAATTCTTTTTAAAAATTATGATGTTATTTTCCTGTATTTTCACACACTTGCAACTGTCAGAGTATCTTCATAAAATTTTGAAAAAAAAATTAATGATATTTTTTTTCGGAAAAGGGGAAGTAATTCTGTTAACATGAGAATCTAAGTCGGCAGTGTTTATAAGTCGCGTCATATATGACAAAAGCCTGTGGCAGGCGTTCGAAATGTCAGCTGTCAACTTGTTTCCGAGTCCTGCACTCGGGACCCGCACATGCCGACGTGAAAATTTACATATTCGTGCGATAAGAATACTCCACAGCGTCACTCGTTTGGGCTGTTTTTTTTTTATTCGACCCACTAGATGCATGTATTTGGTTCGTAACAATTTGTCCGAGTTTTTTATTTATTTTTTTTTTTTATTTCTTTCTTTATTTTTTTGTGGTTGCTCATTGAAATAACAACAACACACACATCACCAAACTTTTTAAAAATTAGCCTTTAAAGTAGAAACATATCGCTGTTACTAATAAACCATTTAGTGGTATTTTTAAAACAAAATGGCGTTAAAATATATTTATCGAATACAGCGGCATGATGGAGGCTAGTGTTAAAAGTTATAATTATTTTATCACATTATATTTTATACAGAATCAATATATTTTATTCATAAACTTTAACCTATATTTTAATATAATAATGTTATCACATTATTAAAGTCTAGGTTAATGCAATGTTTATATGAATAAAATATCTTGATTCTGTATAAAATATAATCAATAATCGTGCCCCAGACACATGGGGGAGGTGAAGTAGAGTTCGTCTGTTTCAGAGACCTCGGCATATGAAGAGATAGTGTGGTTAGCACTATGCCCAGCCGCCTTTGTTTCAGAGCTGGGTGAACTTAGGGACATTCTTCTGACTTAAACCCGGATTCGAACTCGAGACTTTCGGGTCAGTAGTCTAGCTCTCTAACGCTAAGGCGCGCCGTAAAATATAATTTATTCTTCCATTTAATAGAGTAAATAAAAACACCAAAATCTCTAAAAGATGGTGTGCAGTTAAATGAAGTCAAATATGTTTTTCTTATCTTTCCTTTTTTTTTTACTTCTCCGTTGATCTTGTTTGCTTTCAAACATATTATGAAAACAGAAATTTAAAAAATTTACCGAGGGTGAAAAATGCCAGTCTTCACAAGACCTCTCGCCATTTTTGTGTTATCGGAAGTTGGTATTACAAGTTATTTTTTGTGTCGTCGTGAAATGACTTTCGATGATTAAGTTGACATAATCTTGATGATTAAGTTGACATAATCTCGCATTTATACCCGGCAAGTTACGCCGGTACCCAAACTAACGATTAGATCTCGCTAAGGTCTCGTATTTGCACGTGCCCTCGTACATCTCGACGATACGAACGCTCCCCCCGTGGGTGGGGCTTGTCGCTACGCGGTATAGGTCCGAGCCAGCCGAAATGGAGGATTTGGATAAACATTGGAATAAATGTAAACAAATTTTGGAGGAAACATGTCAGGTCTGCTAAAATAGACCCCCCTCCCCTCCCCACCAAACGAATTTTTTCGTTGCTTGGTCACCGGGGTGTTTTCCCGCCTTTTTTGGCCCGTTATCAGATTAAGGTTGAGCTATTGTCCGGAGGTTGGTGAACGGTTTTTAAATCTGATCGTCTGCGTCGTTTTAAAAGTCGAACCCACCTGCCTGGGTGCTCGAGGAACTTGAAACTTTTCTAATAGGTTTATTTAAGTTGATTTCTTGAACTTGGTAATTTTATGAAATAGCAGACACAAATGTATCGGCCATGTTAAATATACCACAGACGCGATCATTATCTAATCAGTAACAAAAACAAAAATTGTCAGAACAGTGCCTACCCGGCTTTAGTCCGGTACCCATTAAAGCTGAGTCATGACGGTACTGACTTCTGCTATTAAAGCTGAGCGGACGGTCATAATTCGGGTACCCACCAAAGCAGAGTGGACGGTCATTTCTCGGGTACCCATTTTAGCTGAATAGACGGTTATGACTCGGGTACCCATTAAAGCTAATTGGACGGTTATGACTTGTGGCCATCAAAGCGGACATATACCAGAACTTTGTATGTATATATATATATATATATATATATATATATATATATATATATATATATATATATATATATATATATATATATATATATATATATATATATATATATATATATATATATATATATATATATATATATACATATATAAAATAGATTTAATAATTTTTCCGTAACTTGAAATGATTTTTTATTTTAAAAAACGCCAGCAATTTACCACAGTTGCGTTTAGTTTGTTTTTTCTACGGTATCGCAGATAAGGTAAAGTGATTAGGACAGGGATAAGGGTTAGAGTTAAGGCTAGCAATATGCTTTACTAGCACACATATACGCACACACACACACGCACGCACACACACACATACGATAAGGGTTAGAGTTAAGGCTGGCAATATGCTTTACTAGCACACACATACGCACACACACACAGACACACACGCACACGCACACACACACATGATAAAGGTTAGAGTTAAGGTTGGTTATATGTTTTACTAACACACACACGCACACACACACACGCAAACACACACACACACACTTGATAACGGTTAGAGTTAATGCTAGCTAAATGCTTTACTCGCACACACACACACACATACGCACACACACAAAATCACATTGACAACCGACCCGACCATTTTTTTTAAATGCCATAAAAATAATCGCACTGAAATGAGCAAGAAGTCTAGTCACACAACCGTGGTCTAAGTACACTTTCACCGACTACTCCGAACTTAAATAGATGGGTCAGGAAGGTTACAGGAGGGGTCGTGGGGTGGGGGGCAGGTGAAATGCATGTCGAACTGTGTGATGCATGCCAAGAGTTAGCCGCAGAGGTCATCGTGACCTGATAATGACGGGCCAACATGGACGTGGGGGTGGGGGAGGGGGGTGGCATGATCCCAATCAGTGCCATGATGTTCAATCATGCCCCGGCGTCACTTCCTCTCCCGACGCCTGCTTTTAATTTCAATGCACTCAGCTAAGGAACAGACAACTCTATTTTTTCTTTAATTTGATGAACGATATCGACCCCTGCATCTTGGTGTCACGCCCCACCCCGATTATCAGTCGAGCACACATTACCAGCTATAATACCACCAGCAGTCTAGTAGAGCTGACTATTTAAAGGAACACTTGCTTTTGTTTAACTATTATTCAGATATAAGTTTTAAAAAAACTTATTCGACTTACGATTTTTTAAAAAAAAGTTCGCGAACTCTGACATGAAACAGCCCCACATGTTAATTCGCGGCATAATCTCCTGCGCAAAGTGCCATGTTTTTTTGTTTTTTTGTTGCTTTTTTATAAATTAAATATTTGTTGAACATAGTAATAGAATAAGGCGTCTGTGTATATATTTAAAAAAATATATTATACCGTTTATTTCATTAATCCAACCTGTCAAAATTTCCCGCTGGTGGGGGTAGGGGGCGTGCCGAAAGTAATGGGAACAGGGGGGAAGGGTGGGAGGGAATTTACCTGACGTCTGCTAATCTCGTGACGTGATTGGCTGGGCTGTACTTCCGCTGTCGTGTTCGTATATTTATTAAATTGTTTCTACCCGGAAGCCTTGCAGCTCTCCTCCGCTGCCTCAAAAACGTTTCCCCCCGGCCCCGGTCTAACTGCAGGTCTTTATCTTCAATTAGAACAAATCTAAGTAACTTTTTTTTTGAGGGGGAGAGCCGAAGGTGGGTGGGGGTGGGGGGTGAATTAGCAATGTTTATCAAAATGTCAGGGCATGCCAAGGCTGAGGTGTCAAACCCCGTGTAATGCCTGTTTGGAACTGTCAGTCGCTGGGAAAAGGGAAGGGGGGGGGGGTGGGGGGGGGGAGTGTACCTGGCGTAGGATGAATTCATACCAGTACCTACTTCATTAAACAGACAAATTAACTGTTTCACAAGCCCCCGCCTACACGGTTTAACTAGCCAGGAATTATTTTTTTTTCTGAGTCGTGTCGGCCGATTCGTTGACTCGCATCTCACCTCTCATAGGACGAATTGAATGGCTGATCAAGTTAATTTACCCGGCGGTAGGAAGGTGATCTGTGGCGCCTAGCTCACTCACCCGGACTCTCGCACCGTCGCTATCTCCAATGTTGCACGGTGTTAAGTTTTTTTAAACGTCGATTTCTGGATGTTTTTTTTTCTGCTGTAAGGATATTAGTGTGGACACTGGCAATAAAAGTAGCGTCAGATGGTGACACAGGCATGGTGAGTGGCATATGTGTAGGAAGCTTATAACATTGTTATAGTTAAATATACAGTTGTAATATAAGTAATTTTAAAATATACAGTTGTAAAAAAACGAATGTCAAATTATAATTGATGTTAAAGTGACACATACATGGTGAGTAGTATGACTTTAGGAACCATACCATTGTTATAGTTAAATATACATTTGTAATATATATATATATATATATATATATATATATATATATATATATATATATATATATATATATATATATATATATATATATAAGTAATTTATAATATACAGTTCTAAGTGAATGTTAAATATGAATTAATGTTAAATGTTAATTGATGTTAAAGTGATACATACATGGTGAGTAGTATATCTTTAGGAAACTTATACCATTGTTATAGTTAAATTTGTTATATAAGTAATTTTAAAATATACTGTTGTAAACAAATTGAATGTTTTATATTAATTAATGTTAAATGTTAATTAGTGGTAAAGTGTGGACAAATGCAATAAAAGTAGTCAAATGATGATACATACATGGTAAGTAGTATGTCTAGGAAACTTATACCATTTTTATAGTAAACAAATCGCTTTTAAGTGTGGTTCTTTCATTTGACGATTTATATAAGGTATCTTGAATACATAGCTCTAATATAATATTTAATATGCAGTTGAAATTTAAGTAATATTAAATATATAGTTTTAGTAAAGTAAAGTTACATACAATGTTGTAATATAATGTAAGCTATATAGTTTTAATGTAGTAACGTTAAATAAGTATACAGTTGAATATAAGTTACGTTCAATATACATTATTAATATAAGTAATTTTAAAATACACAGTTGTAATATAAATAATATTAAATATATAGTTTTAAAATAGAAATGTTAAACATATAGTTCTAATACATGAATTAATAACTCTAAAATAAGTAATATTATGTATAGTAATAATATAAATAATGTTAAATATAAAGGTATAATATAAACGGCGTGGAATTTGTTTTGATTGCTTACTTGTTAAATGAAACTATATTTACATTGAAATGCCATATATATATATATAGCTGGTTATATATAGCTGGTTACATCAACTACGGTAGTTTATCATTTAGGATTAAGTCTCTGGTTTCTTATTATTGTACTTAACTGTATTGTTGGGCGAGATTTTGTAATTAAGTATTAAGTGTCAGCCTATTGATTTCTGATTGCGTAGGGCGTTTATTGATAGGTTGACGTTCTGTATCATAATGTTCAGTTTTTTATCATTGGGAGCTCAGGTTTTTATTTTTAGTTATATCAGCATATAACTTAAGTAAGATTACACCAAACTAATTTATTTTTTACTTTTTGGTAAATGTTTTCAATAGTGATTTTTTTTTCTTTGGTGAATTTTTTAATATAATAAAATAAAGTTTATTGCATTTAAAAATAAAATGTAGGTGAGAATTATTTAGAAATGGAGACAATCAAAGACAATTTTTAAAAACTTATTTTGTCGTTGTGCGAAGTGTATCCCTAATAGGAGTTGAACTCTACAAACAAATTGTACCATGTCGGTAAAATCGTTAGGCTACGTGTGAAAATAACGCCTGTTAGGATCTGTACAATTGAACGTGTCTTAAAACGCCATTTAACATCTGTACAATTACATGTGTCTTAATAACGCCATTTAACATCTGTACAATTACATGTGTCTTATTAACTCCAGTTAACATATGTACAATTACATGAACGCCAGTTAACATCTTTACAATTACATGTGTCTTAATAACGCCAGTCAACATCTGTACAATTACATGTGTCTTATTAACTCCAGTTAACATATGTACAATTACATGAACGCCAGTTAACATCTGTACAATTACATGTGTCTTATTAACTCCAGTTAACATGTGTACAATTACATGAACGCCAGTTAACATCTATACAATTACATGTGTCTTATTAACTCCAGTTAACATATGTACAATTACATGAACGCCAGTTAACATCTGTACAATTACATGTGTCTTATTAACTCCAGTTAACATATGTACAATTACATGAACGCCAGTTAACATATGTACAATTACATGAACGCCAGTTAACATCTGTACAATTACATGTGTCTTAATAACGCCAGTTAACATCTGTACAATTACATGTGTCTTATTAACTCCAGTTAACATGTGTACAATTACATGAACGCCAGTTAACATCTGTACAATTACATGTGTCTTATTAACTCCAGTTAACATATGTACAATTACATGAACGCCAGTTAACATCTGTACAATTACATGTGTCTTATTAACTCCAGTTAACATATGTACAATTACATGAACGCCAGTTAACATATGTACAATTACATGAACGCCAGTTAACATCTGTACAATTACATGTGTCTTAATAACGCCAGTTAACATCTGTACAATTACATGTGTCTTATTAACTCCAGTTAACATATGTACAATTATATGAACGCCAGTTAACATATGTACAATTACATGAACGCCAGTTAACATTTGTACAATTACATGAACGCCAGTTAACATCTGTAGAATCACACGTGTACAGTCAGCGTCTGTCCTATAAGCCTAGGTTTACACTTCATGCTTTCTAATTTTAAACACCGACAACTTTATAAAGCTTATTTTTCACGTTCGATTTAATACTTCTAAATATGGGTCTTCACTCTGTAAAATAAAATAAAGGACAAAAAAAAAACCACACGCACAACAAAGCGGCTGCGGTAATTGTAATGTTGGGCAATGTGCATAGAAAAAGTTATATTACTGGAGCTTTGGGCTGAGCAGTTTTTACAAAGAACATCCCCTATCGACGTGTATATGGCTAGACACGGCGCCGCCCATGTGTTTTGTACCCCCGGGCCTTACGTGCGGCAGAGACCTAAACGATTTTTTAAACCGTTTATTCCCAGGGCATCTAGGTTAGATATCGTGGATTTCTAGTCTTGCTTGTGATTCATAGGATTTTTATAAAAAATATTCTAAACCTTTTTGTGTGAATTTTTAAAAAAGGAATTTCAAGTCTTTCTTCTTAATTTTGTGGCATATAAATAATTTTTTTTAAATGTTAGAAAATTTCATGAATAAAATAAAATCGGAATAAAATATATATTTAGAACAATTTTAATGGCAGGCACTGATGTTTCACGCCGCTAAATAGGTCTGTAAACTCCCAATTAAAGTAGGGATGTATCCCAATTCAAATTAGGGATAGTTTCTGGTTAAAGTAAGGATTAAAATTGACGTCATGTTCATCTCTGTACAGATGCCCTATACGAGCGTATTGAAGCTGTACCCAGGCTTATAAACCATTATATACTTTTTCTCAAGAGGACGGAGGCTTTCTAAAATTATAACTATACACTGTTTTCTATATGTAGAAAAGATGTACGATAAAACTTGATTCACGGATCGTTAGGTCTAGAAGTACTCTTGACATTTTGTCGCTGGCTCGTTACAGCGTTTGGTCGCAAACGCCCATGATGTTCGATTGTACGGCTAGGCCATTTTTACGCCGTTCTATCTTCCGGATGTTTGGTCGTACGACAGTTTAGTCATCCGGCTGTTTGGTCGTCCAACAGTTTAGTCATCCGGCTGTTTGGTTGTACGACAGTTTAGTCATCCGGCTGTTTGGTCGTACAGACATTTTAGTCATCCGGCTGTTTGATCGTCCGACAGTTTAGTCATCCGGCTGTTTGGTCGTACGACAGTTTAGTCATCCGGCTTTTGGTCGTCCGACAGTTTAGTCATCCGGCTTTTGGTCGTCCGACAGTTTAGTCATCCGGCTTTTGGTCGTCCGACAGTTTAGTCATCCGGCTGTTTGGTCGTACATACATTTTAGTCATCCGGCTGTTTGGTCGTCCGACAGTTTAGTCATCCGGCTGTTCGATAGTATAGCTGTCCTTAAGTCAGTACTTTTCGATTGACCAGCTGTTGGACCTTAGGATTGACTGGCTAAGTAATCCAATGTCGAATAGCTGCACAAGATGTACCTGGCCCTTATGAGAATGTTTAATTAGTACCTGACCCTAATGAGAATGTTCGATCGGTTCCTGACCCTAATGAGAATATTTAATTAGTACCTTACCCTTATGAGAATAAATGTTTAGTACCTTACCCTTATGAGAATATTTAATTAATACTTGACCCTCATGAGAATATTTTATCAGTACCTGATCCTTATGAGAATAAATGATCAATACCTTATCCTACGGTACACAATTAAGTCTTACAATTTTTTTTTCTCATGTGTGAATGTGCATTTATAAACTGAATACGTTAGAATAAATAAAAATAGTTTAATACCCCACACATCTTAGGATGCCGTAATGCATTCTAAAAGAAAAGGGGATTCTGACTTTAGGAGTCTGGCTTGTCACCGTTATCTTTACCTGGAGGCTCACCTGGAGATATCTGCTGTCTCTGTTAGTGGAACATTGGCACCAGGTCTACAGACACACCCACTGTGATGTGTGTCACCTGTGTTGAGGCGTCCGTGTGTTCATGTGTGTATGTGTGTATGTTACAAACCTACAAGCACACCTAGGGTGCTCTATGTCACCTGTGTTGGGGCGTCCGTGTGTTCATGTGTGCATGTGTTATGTTACACACTTACGAGCACACTTAGGGTGCTTTATGTCACCTGTGTTGAGGCGTCCGCGTGTTAATGTGTTATGTTACAAACCTACGAGCAAACCTAGGGTGCTTTATGTCATCTGAGTTAAAATATCCGTATATGTGTATGTTACAGACTTAAGGACGTACTCTGTGTTGCGTGGTGTCACCTGTTGTGATAACTCCATTTGTTTATATGTGTATGACATAGACTTAGTACACACTTTGTGTAGTGTATGTTAACTATGTTGAAACGTCCTTTTGTTTATGTGTGTGCGTGTGTTGCAGACTTACGTACACACCTTGTGTGCTGTATTTTACTTGTGTTAAATGTCCTTTTTGCTAATGTGTGTATGTTACAGATTTATCTCCGCCAACCCCCCCCCCCCCCCCCCCCCGAAGAAAGTCTACCGTCCCCCCTTCCCCCGTCCCTTAAACGAAATAGAATTTACATAGGTAATATATACTTTACCAGTGTCCCCCCCCCCATGAAAATTTAGTCCGCCCCACCCCCTTCCCAAAAATACCAAGTGCCCCCCCCCCCCCAAGAAAAATGTCTGAAAGAAACACAAGATGTGTTGCGTGTCACCTGTGTTGAAACTTTGTGTGTGTGATGTTATAAAACACAATATTTCAGCTGGCAGCAACTTATCTGATACGCTTTGTATAATCTGCAGACAGGGTAGACCTGTCGTTAATTCCTTCAGTATTCCAGCTCATACAGTTATTAAAGACAAGCATGCACGGCACGGTGCCAGGTGGGTGAAGACGAGGGAGGTAGAAAGGACATTGGATGGAGGACACAGGAATGGACTTGACCGCTCGTTGCAGAATTATTACAAGCAAAGGTTCTCTCAGACATGAGGGGCATTTTTTTTTATTCCTTTGGTGGCGGGGGGGGGGGGGGGGGGGGGGGGGGGGAAGGCACTTTCACTTCCCGGAGATAGAAACAAATTGATTACAAGCACTAGCAGACCTAGAAAATATGACAAAGAATTGTGAAAAAGTCTACTGTGGTTCCCCAAACAAAGGAACCCCCCCCCCCCTCCTGATTTATGGGATGATAGATCGATTGATTGGCTGATTGACTGAATACAGTAAAACTGTCGTGAAAATATTTCAATCTGAGATGTTGCCTAAAAGGGTTGAAATTCCATGCATGTTTGTTTTTGAATCAGTGTGTTTGATTGTATCGTATATTTACCCGTATATTTAAGTCAATTATGTAATACTTAATCATTTTTATTCTGAAATGATACTGTATTACTTGTACGCCATATCCTGGGTTGCTATATTTTTTAAATGATACGTTGTTTTAGCTTAATACGATTTTTAAAAATTGCGTTATATTATTTTAACTTAATTTTATCTATAGTGTTTTCATATTTACTGACTTATAATGAATGCACAATATTTTATATCAATATAGCCATAATTACCACTGGTTAATTTTTTTTAATATATTTCCCTGGTTTTTTTATGAATAAATTTTACAAACCTCTGGGATTTTAAAGTTTGCTAGTTTAAGAATTGAAAACACAATATAACTCAATATTCATTTTAAGTTATCTTAAAATAAAATAAATTTTACCAATAATCCTGAAAATCCTGAAATTTAGTTTTGTATTGCGTTGTGGTTTGGGTGGAATGAAATTGTTACTAGTATATTCTACTTCTTTTTCGGTCTTAACATTACTATTGTAGAGGATTTCCTTCATCACAATTAAGTATTCAGTGACATGTTATACACCATATGACACGTTGACTCCGACTTCAGCCTGCTTTTCTTTCTGGATTTTCTTCCATAGTATGTGTACATCCATGAACAAACTACAAGCAGCAGTTGTTTCTTCTTCTTCTTCGTTCTTAATTGTTAGTGTTGGGAGTGATCGAGCTTTATCAACCATGACCACGCCTCCATCACAATTAAGAATACGTGTCAACTGGTTATGCGCCATTGAGGCCATTGACTGCGATTTCAGCCTGCTTTTCTTTTTGGATTTGCTTCCATAGCCTTTGTCCAGCCAAGAACAAACTACAAGGCAGCAGTTGTTTGATTTTGGAGTTGTCGCTTAGATCGGTTGCTGTTCCCAGCTAACGAGCCTCATCTGCGAGGTTCCAAACTTGGAATTTTTTAAATTAGCGATTATACGCTCTTCCGCCATATAACCCCCGTGTCAACCTGTTATATAATATAGGGGTGGTCAAAGGAAATGTAATATAGGGTTTTATAGTGTATTGCCTTAAACATCTCATATTTTTGTATTATATAATATGAGCATTATTCTGTTATAGCAGGCAGGTTATAGCCAGTAAAATATTACTCTTCTTATTTCTTCGATGATTAACTAATTATTTTCGTTTTGGTTTTAAATATTGCAGGTCAATTGGAACCCTGTGAATGCACGTGCTGATATCTGCTCAACACTTCCGGTGATGGTCAGCCCCATACGACAATGACGTCACCACAGATTAGGATGAAAGACGTGACCTCTCCACTGTACCAGGTCAAGGTGACATCGCCATGCCAACAGCTCCAAACGTCGTCTACCATTCGCCAGGCCAAACTCTACATTTTCACCTGCCTGGTCGTGTTCAGCCTGGCCAACCTCGTTCTGCTTCAGGTGTACCACGTGTTCGTCGTGTCGTCTGCTCAAAATGGCGGACCGGAAACGAACACTTTCAGTAATGAAAGAAATAATTTCCGGAAGTCGTCTCTAGACACTGAGAATGGTTCGTATAGTGTAAACAAATTGACTAACTCCGAGCCCCCACTGGGGCAAATATTGAACGACAACAAAGGGCGGCACGACGTTCTCAAAGGTCACATCCGGAAGTTAATGGGCCACGCTGACGTAACCGGATATTTGAAATGGTTTTACATCGCGACGAAAGAACCCGTTCCGAAATTTGTAACTTTCGGCGATTTTAAATCGAGTGTGGACAGCGAGGAAGGCATGGATTTGTTAACGTGTTCGGACATTGAGGAAATGCAGGAACCGACGTACGTGGCCAGGGGATGGACCAAGGTCGTCCACAAGGGCGTGGTGCGCGGCAGGCATGTGGCGGTGAAGACCGTGGACGCTGGGGGACGGGACGTCCAAAGTTGTCTGGACAAGGGCGGGAACGTGACCGGGTGCTACAACAGGGCGGCGGCTAAGATCGTCAAGGAGATTCAGCTGCTCAAGTCGCTGGTCCATGAGAATGTGGTCAAGGTGAGTGAAAGTTGGGTCAAGGTGAGTGACTGTTGGGTCAAGGTGAGTGAAAGTTGGGTCAAGGTGAGTGACTGTTGGGTCAAGGTGAGTGTTGAGTATAGGTGAATTATTGTGTGGTCAGTGTTATTTTTGGGTCAAGGTGAATGAAAGTTGGGTCAAGGTGAGTGACTATTGGGTTTAGGTGGGTGGTTGTTGGATTTAGGTGGGTGACTTTTGAATTTAGATGAGTTATTGTGTAGTCAAGGTGAGTGACTGTTTTGAATATATATATATATATATATATATATATATATATATATATATATATATATATATATATATATATATATATATATATATATGTATATATATATATATATATATATATATATATATATATATATATATATATATATATATATATATATACGCTATAGCTGAACTATATAGCAAGTTAGTTTTATTGTTATACAAAGTAACATGTTTATAATAGTGAAAAAAAAAACAAGCAGTTTCTTACATTTTTCAAAGTAATTTTCAAGCGAGTAATGGAACGCTCATTTACATAATTAAATAAAGATATCAACATAAAAAAACACACATAACCGTTATAGAACTTTATATTTTTTGTTTTTGCTTTTTTTCTTTACCCTTCTACCCCACCTCTCTCCATAATGACAATACAAATCAGACACAATTTTAAAAACATTGAAAAATAAAAATAAAATAAAGCAGATTTGCGATGACTAAAAATATTTTGGTTCACTCAGCTCCAACTAATGTTGAGTACTGACCAATGTAATCCTTTAATCATCATCTTAAAAAAGGAATGGGCACAACACAACTGTACACACAAGTTTCCAGTTTCATCAAATTTATACTTCGTAATTAAATTTATTTTTTTCAAAACTTCAAATGATTCGTAACTTTATTTATTCGCGTTTTTATTTTGTATTAATTGTGATGTTAACGAATTTGATTGCTACAATTTATATAAACAAGGTAATATTATGGAAAAAATGTATTTTCAAAAAGTTTAACTAAAATCATTCATCTATTTTAGTCGAAAATAGAATCCTTTTGTGGATTTTTTCCTCTCTTTAGTTGCCATGGAGATAAATGTTCGCTTAATCATGTCAGAAAAGTGTATAGACACTACAGCTGTTTGTGTCCACGGCGGGTAATTGGTCTCTCTCTCTCTCTCTCCTACCATTGTTCAGGTTTTAGGGTTCTGTATTTCACCGACGGCGTTTGATGCGGATCTCAAGCTCACGGTTGCCATGGTGACTGAACTGGGAGAACCTATTGATCTGATCAGACTATTACAAATGACATGGGAAGATCGACTACGGGTGAGTACTCGGATGTACGTTGTGTGTGTGTGCGTGTGTGTGTGTATGTGTGTATGTGTGCGTGTATGTACAGTGAGCGATGGCTTTATAAGTGACGTATGGGCTGGACTTGGAGCGGGGGGGGGGGGGGTGTTGTAAAACACAGGAACTAACAGAGAAACCCGTGCTTCGCTGGTCAGACATAAAGAATAATTACAAGCACAGTTGAATTACATGACTTTTAACGTACCGTTTTTTTGGATACGATGGAGGCTTACTAGTAGTAGAGGAAGTAGAGCTCGTCTGTTGTCGTTAGGTGTGTATTTGTCGGAGCAGAAAGTATACTTGGGCTTTACACGACCCCAAGCAGGTAAAAGTAAATTTTCCGTTTCAGACTTATCGATCTCTAGGGCAGTTGAAGTAGAGTTCATGTATCTTGACCTCAGCATATGCAGGGATAGTTTGGTCCGCACTATGCCCAACTACCTTTACTTTCCCTAACGTGAGTGAAGTCATCATTGTGGGCTCATGGACGTCCTGCAGTCACTAGTTCGTACCGAGATCCGAACTCGAGACCTGTATACTAGCAGCTTAGCGTGCTACCACCCGACTCCCCCCCCCCCCCCCCTCCCACCCTCAAAGCATGCTCCCAAGCCCCTAAACTTTAACAGGTTTGTAACAGTTACAACTACTATAATTTTTACAAATCATACCACATAAATGTTAAACTTAAAAGTTTTGGGATTGGATTGTAAATAAGCATACGAAGTTGAGGTTTTTTTTAAAGCTTTAGAATAAATGTTGCGGCCAGTGCAGTATCCAGTCATCCTTATCTTTTCCAACTCCGGCTGGATACTAATTAAAATTTATCGACTCTATTTGATGACCGGATTTTTGCTGTTATACACGAACTAGCTGCATCCCGTGCTCTGCCACGGTAAATCTTTTTTAAATGTACCAACTTGGGAACAGGACAAAACTAAACACAAACGAACGCAAAAAAAAAACACAAACGAAAAAACAAACACAACACTCATAACATAAACACAATTTAAATGCAATCATAAAGGCATATTGCTCACAGTCTAGCCCGTAGCGCCAAATCGCGCCCTTTCCGGTGATTTGCACCCCCCTCAAACTTTCGATTTGCACCCCTGTCCCCCCCGCCCTAAAAACTTTCGATTTCCACCACCCCCCCATCGCAAATTTTTTCCAACCCACTTTGGCGCCCCCTAAGGTTGGCACCCGGGGACATATGCCCCCCCCCCCGTCGCTACGCCTCTCCTATAAAACCCCTAGCTTGTCCGCAAACCGAAAGATAGAATAATAATTAGTAAACAGTATAAATAATAGGCAGTATTTAAAATATCCGTGTTTTACCTACAATATTTCACTTTATCCATTCACGCATTTTTTCCCAGTACTTTAAATTTTAAAAATTTACAATAGAGTTTCATAACTAAAACCATTGCGCACCGAATGAACGTGATGACGCGTCTATAATAGTGCTTAATAGTTGATTAAAAATTATAAGTAGTAAACATTACATTCAGTGAATAAAATAAATAAAAAATAGCCTTTTATCAATCAATGCTAATTATAATATTCCAACAATAATGTACTCTTACACGTCTGCATAATTTGCATTCACATTTTGCTAATTATATTATTCCAACAATTATTCCGTCTTGCAGATTTTGCATTCACATTTTTAGCGTGAGTTCAATTTATTTTTAAAATACCTCCCTTGGCAAAATTACTAAACAGTTTAATTAGATTTTTCTAACCTACAGCTATTATGTTATTAAAATGTATCCACTTTCTCTAGGAATATTAACGAAAACGATATTTGACATTGATCCTTTTAATATGTTTTAGCAATGTGCATGTATTTAATATTCTCTTTACGTTATGCAAAATTGTACAAACAGTGGAAATTATAAAATAGCTCTATGTCGTTATATAAACAAACCCTACTCTAATACTTATAATAAGACACTGCGGTGCACTCAAAAGCACTGCATGGTGCATAGTTTACTTTTATGGTTCCAAAATCTATAGCGATGACGGACGGACAGACACAGCCCGCTTATATTATAGATTCAGACTTTATGTAAATAACACGGTTAAAGACCTTAAGGTAAAATAAATCCGTCTATGATTATAGTCTAAGAGTAGGCAGTAAAAAAAATACTCTAAGCCAGTCTTAGCAATATTAACTAGAAATAACTTATTATGTTGAGAAATGTGTTCCAGTGTGTTTTGGAGAAAATGTGTGTTCCTTTTTTCAACAAGTGATAGCTGGTTGTTGTTTTATCTTTTTTTTTCTTTTTTTGGACTATACAAATCTCTGTTGATTGTTTTGTCTATACAAATCTCTGTTGGGTGTTTTGTCTATACAAATCTCTTTTTGGTGTTTTTTTCTAAAACTTTTGGGTGATTTGTCTTTACGAATCTCTTTTGGGTGTTTTGTATTTACAAATCTCTGTGGGGTGTAATGTCTCTCCCTTCGTTATCGCGACATACAGACTACATTTACCTAAATAATCATACATCGTGAGTTGTTCTCAAAGCGGGCCGTCCAAATATCGCGTCGATCACATAACTGGCCGTCCACATAACGGGCCGTCCACATAATGAACCGTCCACATAACTGGCCGTCCACATAATGAGCCGTCCACATAATGAACCGCCCTAATAGAGGACTGACCGAATTTCATGTAGATGTAAAGCTATTATAAAGATTTGACCCTGTTGACCCTCCGCTAACCTTCGAACAATCACATCAATAGCATGATTGATTCGATAACCCTCATACACCCACATTCATTGACTTGAGCTATTCCATTAACCCTCATCCACCCACATTAAATGACTTCAGTGATTCAGTTAACCCTCATACACCTACATTAAATTAGTTGGGTGATTCAGTTAACCCTCATACACCTACATTAAATGAGTTGTGTGATTCAGTTAACCCTCATACACCCACATTAAATTAGTTCAGTGATTCAGTTAACCCTCATACACCCACATTAAATGATTTCAATGATTCAGTTAACCCTCATCCACCTACATTCAATGAGTTGAGCGATTCAGTTAACCCTCATACACCCACACTCAATTAGTTGGGTGCTTCAGTTAACCCTCCTGGTCCCACATCCCTGTCGTCAGTGGCGCCACCTACCCTCCAGCGATGCATTCTCCCACCATCAAACGACAGACCCATTGATTTGAGTACCACAAGATGGCGGCCCATAGGGCACACAGAGAACATCGCACTCCTTGACCCTAGTGTTGCAGCATTTTTAAAATCCCGGCACAACTGTATAAAATGTAAGTTAACGATTGGATGCTCCACGTCACGTGTTAGGCCCACATTATTGTTTATTGTGACTTTTGTTGAATCCTACACAATAAAGGTAGGGATAGACAACCAAGAACTTAAGTTAAAACTTTAAACAGTTATTACTGCAAAATAAAACAGCCTACTATCAAAAGGATTTTTAAAAATTAAAAATACGTAAAGTGGTTATGTTTAATTAAAAATCTGTTTAGTGGTTTTCTTTAGTTTAAAAAACTAAGCTATATAGGCCTTCTTCGCTGATGTAGATTTTAAAGACGGCTAAAGAGCTTTAAAATAATATTTGGGAATCAATCACATAATATTTTACAATTTACTGAAACAACATTAGCTTAGTTTTCAGCGTAACAAAGTAAGTTTTTAAAAATACTTCAGAAATATTCTGTTTATGATTTTAACGATTTTAGATTTCCTCAAAACAGTTGTTTCAGTATTTTCTTTCGAATTTTTGTCTGACATTTTAGTTGTAATAAATTAAGTAAAAACCTTTATTAAGGTATTTAATACTAATAAACTAAAACGAATTTCATAAAATTTTCACTTGGCCAAAAGTGAACCACAATAAAAAATGTTCGTGTTCAGTTTGCGCGTGATGTGAATTTTTAACTGGCAAACTGAAAGCTAGCTGATATTTAATTTTAACTATTTAAGTTATACAAGCATGTTACTTGTTTGTCTCCCCCCCCCTCCCCCAGTTCATCGTGTCCAACAGACGTGACAACGTCTGTGTCAGACACTGGGACGCGGGAACCAAGGTGACGTATCGTTTGTTAAACTAACCGTAAAAAACACGTGCCCGCAGCGGTGACTAAACTGTATTGTCACGAAAAAATGAATTGCTTTTAAAATGAAATCCGACGATAATGCCAAAACGCTGGTTTTAGACGATAATTTCTTCACACTTCGTGGGTTGGAGAATTGTTTCGTATACTGCTTTAAACGGTTTTGAGTTTTTGTGCTCGTTTTATTTACCATGATTTATCTTTGCTGATTTAATTTAATAATTGTTTCGTATGTTGTTAAAAACCGTTAGGAATTTGAGTTTTTATGCTCGTGTTAAACTGTTATTTCTCTTGATTTATCTTGGCTTACTTAATTTAAGAATTGTTTCGTATATTATTGAAAACGGTTAGGAATTTGAGTTTTTATGCTCGTCTTATTTCCCTTGATTTATCGTTGCTAACTTAATTTAAGAATTGTTTCGTATATTGTTGAAAACGGTTAGGAATGTGAATTTTTATGCTTGTCTTATTTCCCTTGATTTATCGTTGCCGACGTAATTTAGAACCAGTGCCGACTCAGTTGTAAACTATATTTTTTTAATCTCTATTTTCTAAAATCTGTTTTATTGATTTCAATATTAGGCGATATAGCGAGGGTAGATTGTAGAAATTATAATTACTGTACTTTCATCGCAGTATGTAGGCTACCTGTCTTAATGAGAAATATAATTTTGTTTGCTAATTCTAAGCCTGTAGATTTAATAAACAAATGGACGTTTAAATATTGGCAGAATATAAAAACTAATCTAATCCTGAAATTGCTATCTCTACAGATTTACAAACATAAAGGAAATAAAAAGAAATAAGGTAAAACTAAACAGTTACGCTGGTACGTTAGGAAAATTCTCGAATAGTTGACACTTGTGATATCGGGC